GATCAGGGGCTTGATTTAGTGTTTTACTGATTGTAAAAACTTTAAAAAGTAATGGAGAAAACACTAATAATGCAGATCAAATTTAAAAGTGTGTGCGTGTGTGTGTGTGTGTGTGTGTGTGTATTTTCCTCCAGAGAGCCAATTGTTAGGCATTTAACAGCTCATTCCTGCAAACAAGAAAAAAGAATTGTATTTGATGGGTCCCATGGATGGACAGATAGATACATTCCAGGGTGGGTATGTGGCCTCAAGGCCCGACAGATAGATAGAACACATTCATTAAGTCTGTGTGCCAGACATTGTGCTAAGAGCTGGAAATACAAAAACAAGAAAAGAAAATAGTTCCTACTTTCAAGGAGCTTTAGTTCTAATCATTCTAAGAAGGAAAGACAAAAGATAAAGAGGAGCTGGAAAGGTCAGAGAGGAGTGGAGGTGAATAGTGAGAGTTACACGCCTAGGCCTTCTCATAATATGGAGGCTTCGGGTACCTATTTGTGAGGATCAAATGGGATAATGTAGATAGAGTGCTTGGCAAATATTAAAGTGGTGTATAAATGCTAACTCTTGGTATTGTTTGTTTTGTTTTGCAGTATGGCAAGAAATAAGGGTCATAGATTGTCATTTTAGAACTAGAGCCCTATTATGGGAATTCTTAACCTGGGATACACATACACACACACACACACACACACACACACAAACTGCATTATTTTGTTCTATATATTTAAAAACAGTATTCTTATGTTTTACAAGACTACACATGTATAACCTATGTTGAATTATTTGCCTTCTCAATGAGGGGGGATGAAGAGGAAGGAAAGGAGAGAATTTGGAACTCAAAGTTTTAAAAACAAATATTAAAATTGTGTTTACATGTAACTGGGGAAAATTTTTTAAAAAATTTTAAAATGCTTTTTGTTTCAACTTACACTAAGATATTCCTGACTCTGGGTCCAATATTCCATTCACTGTACTACCAGTTGCCTCTAAAATGAGAGTCCTTCTCTTTAAGGTTCCTTTCAGCCCTAATAATCAAAGACAAAATAAATTTGCCAGTTAAAACAAAATAAATAAATAAATAAATAAATAAATAAAAGCAGTATTCTTAGAAAGAGTTCATATGCTCCAGCAGACTACTAAAGGGGTCCATGACAGAAAAAATGTAAATAACTTTTTTGTTCAATGTTGAAAAGTTTTCATGAAGCATATGTCAAGCAAATACACCAAGTTCTAATAAACAAAACAAAGGAAATCTAGAAGCTTACTTAAGCCACACTTGTACAGAAAACTTGGCACTTCAACTGCTCCAGAGATGGGAACAGCACATGGATTTTTCTCTTCATCTCAGAAAGCTACCTTTTGTCTGATTCCCTCCCCCTAAAGCTGCCTCTAGGGGAGGTTCTTTCCTTTAAATGCTAGAGGTAAATCTGTAATGTGGAAGTGGCAGCGATTCATGTCTTGACCAAAAAAAATTAAAAATAAAAAATTTTCCTAATGAGAACAGTCATATCTGCATCACTGGAAATACTATAACCTCACACAGCATCTCTGTGATGGGACAGGAGGAGGAGAGGCATAGAGATTTACTCCAAAGCCTGACAGGTTTGCAGGGACCGCATCCTGGCCCCTGGAGAGAGTCAAGTGCGGCTTCGTACAACCTTCTCATTTTTTTCAGATGATTAATATGAAGTACAGCTAGTTTAAGACTTTTCCAAAGACAGAACCTGTTTTCCTGACTCTTCCTCATTGCCCTATGCCACGTTAGTTGCCTCTAGACACAACATGAAGGCACCTTGATGGAAACTCTAGAAGCCCGCAGTTAGTGCTCTTCATAGTACTGTTTATATTCCATGTGAGAACTGATGATAGGAAACAAATGTAGGATCTAATTTTTTTTCTTTTTTGCATTTTGGTGAGGCAGTCGGGATTAAAGGACTTGCCCAGGGTCACACAGCTAGTAAGTGTCAGGTGTCTAAGGCCAAATTTGAACCCAGGTCCTCCTGACTCCACGGTCAGAGCTCTATCCATTGCGCCACCTACCTGCCTCCCCCAATTATCTTTTTAAATTAAAAAATGGATCAACTTTGATAGGCCAATATAATAACATTCTATATCAAGCAGTGCTCAATTTTCATGATCAATAGGGCAAATTAACAGAAATACTGTCAGTGTCCAGAGTAGGATCTGATTTTTTTTTTCCTGACAAGATTTGGGATTTTGTCAAGACTGGAAAAAATTTAGTACTGCTCCCTTTGGAGCAGTGCTTCCCTTCCAAAAGGAAGAAAAGCTGCCCTTTGGGAGTCCCTCAATTAATGTTCACTAAACCACTTCCCTTTTTTCAAAGAAATCTCTTTGGAATCAAGAAATCTTGGGACAGCTAGGTGGCACAGTGGATAGAGCACTGGTCCTGAAGTCAGGAGGACCTGAGTTCAAATCCGGCCTTAAACCAAACACTTGACACTAGCTGTGTGACCCTGGGCAAGTCACTTAACCCCGATTGCCTAAAAAAACCAGAGAATATGAAATCAAGAAATCTCTTTAAAAATTTACCTATTCACCCCTTTGGTATTGTCAATGCGTTGATCAATTTCTTCTCTCCCAACCCCCTCTTTTTTCCCCTCACTTTGTTACCCATCATAAGTCCCAAAACCCTTAATGAAGTGTTGGCCATATCAGTTAATGATTCATTGAGGAGGCCATGCCTCTCATTAGAATCAGGTGGGGGAATGTGAAAAATGAATATTAATAACCAGTATCTTGGAGATTCAGAGCTTCTCCTCCCATCCTTTCTTCCAAAGTCCTGACTTTAAATTCAGTTTTTCTTCAGAAGGACATTACTGATAATGAGATCGTATTCACTCTCCTTATCCAGGTCAGCCCCCACTCAAGCCTGCAAGTAATTTAATCTAAAGTCAGGAAAACCATTGTATTCTACTCAAACTTGGGTGGAGACAGATTTCTTTTGTCTAGATGCCCAAGGCTGGGAGTTGTCTGGTATAGCTAGGGGTGGTATTTTCTCTGGCCAAGGGTGAAATGATGGTTGAGTGACAGTCCCTGTTGGAAGGTTACATAAACTGTGCACCCTAACCCCAAAGAGAGCTCAGTTCCAAACTGCAGCTTCCTTGCAGCTCCCAAGCATAGATGCAAGCATGCTACCCACTTTGAGAGAAATAAACAGATAACAACTCTGAAGGTTGACACCATTGATTAGGAAATAGCTAAGTAAATTGTGGTATATGAATGTAATGTAGTATATACATTGTTTCACTGTGAGAAAGAATATAAAGAAATCAGAAAAGCATGGAAAAATTGATATGAACAGATAAGCAAAATACAGGCACAATGACTTAAAAAATGAAACCATATGTTATATAATTATAATGGCCAAGCTTAACCCTAGAGGTGAAAAAAGGCATCCCTCCCTTCTTTGACTATTCTATTATTTTTTTTTAAATAGCTCCTAGTTTTATTTACCAATTCAGTAGAATTGGGGTTTTTTCTTTTGTTCTACCTCCTCATTGATTTTAAGAATTTCTGTTTGTATTTAGTTGTTTTGTTTTTTTAATTTTCTGGTGTATTTAGTTGAATTATCAGATCTGTTCTTTCTCTCTTTTGTTGATGAAAGTGTTTAGAGATAAAAATTTTCCACTACTGACTGCTTTAGCTGTGTCCCAAAAGTAATCATCTCATAATTTTCTATGATAATATAATCTATTATCTCAATGATTTGTATGTTGACCCATATCTTCTTTAGGATTATACTGTTTAATTTGGAATCCTTTCACCTAAGTTTGAATTCTTCAAATTGCCTATTGATTCTGTGTGGGGTACAGAAACCCTTATCAATGAATCAGAGATTCAGAGATATTAGCAAAAAGAATAATTCATTTATTGGCTTTCTCGAGAAAGGGCTCCCTCAGAGCACCAAAAAAAAATGGCACTGACCCAAGAGAGCGGAGGTGTGTTCAGATCAACAGGTTATATAGGTCCTAGCCGCAATCCCCTCCCTAGCCCCCTCCTCAGGACTCATTAGTGTAAGCTCTGAGGGTACAATCTATTCGTGGCAATCTACCCCAGCAACAGAGAACAAAGACACTTTCACAACTTGCCTGGAGACAGGGAAAGGCAGGCGGTTTTCTTTTTGTTTTTAGAGTAAACAGTTTTAGAAAGGGAGGAGGAGGTCTGATAAAGTACAAGATGTGTTGAAAGCATATTTCTTTACAAGGTCAATCGGCTGCAAGTGTTTCAACAGAACATTAACTCCTGAGGAGGCTTCATTACTGAGAGATTCTCAGAGATCATCTCTCACAATTCTAATGTTCATTGCTGTTGAATCTTTCCATTTATACATTTGTTTATGAGGTTTTAATGCCTTAACTTATAGTGAGTTTTTGTGAAGGTGCCATTAAAGCTGAAAAATATAAATGTATATGTAATATAAATCTATATTAAAAATTTACCTATTCACAAAAGTAATTATACTATAATGACAACCCACCCATTTGCTACTCTTTGTCTTAGTTTTTGCTTAGTCCTATGTACTAAATATTTTAGAAGACTCTTCACTGTGGATAGTGGAGCAGTTGTTCAATTAGCTTATAAGGGCCATTCCAGGCATATGCCCGGAACTTCTGGGCAAACTTGTGAAGTCTCCAGAGCCTGGTACCTCCGTATTTGAGCATTTCAAAGATGATAGACTTTTCCCTAGATGTATCCAGCCATATGGTGTCCTGGATGGCAAACCCTGAATGGTCTCTTGGTCTTCTCCTGCCCCAAGGGGGTGGGGTTATTTTAATTAAATGGAGAGATCGCTGTCTTCCTTCAGCATTCCAGCATTCCATATAACCCTGAGATTTCAAGTGAAGGAAGGGAAGAGCTGGCCCTTCTCTACCCAGGCTTTATTGTGACTGACTCAACTAACTTGGCAAGCTTGCAGCTAGGGCCCTGGATGTTTTTTGGTTTTTTTTTCTGCTTTTATATTTGTTCTTTCCTAATTTCAGGTAGAAAAGTGTGAGGGACTGTCTGATGTTGGCAGCTGCCAGTCGGGTACTGTGGCATGGGTAAGGTAAGATCTGGGTATTTTGGAAGTCGAGGCAGGGACTGTGGTAGGCAGAGTCGTGTGTACTGGGATGGGCTGGATTCGGAGAAGCCATGAGGCAATTGGGCAGTGCTCTGTGACATAAGCTGGGTGCAAGGAAGTAGCCGAGCCTGAACTCCTGAGGCAAGGGGCGGTGCCACGTGGGAGTGGGATGGCAGAGGACTGAGTTCCCTCTGCTTAGTCCCCTCCCTATATGCAACGTCATCCCCAGATGCCTCTTGTGACCTTCCAGACCTTGTGCAGCACTGACCCAGTCCCCTCCTGAGTCTGACTTCCTA